TTTTATTTATTTGTGATGTTTTTTCGTTGTTGTTTTATAAATGCTCAATGACAATTGTTTAAAAAATGTCCACATTTTTTTTTTTTTGTTGTTTTTTCGACTAATCGTTGCGCAGGACAAGACTTTGGTCGACTAAGGATTTCTTTGGTTGACTACAGCCCTAATAAATACAGGTGTAAACGGGTCTGAAATGCTTGACATTATGTGTAGTCATATGAATGTGTAACATTATGGGAAGCGGCTAGACAGACGGATTTAAACTTTGTCGACTTGAGACCCAAGTTTGGTTTGAAGATGAAAAACGTACCAAGCCCAATGTTCTCTCAGCGTTCCTGATTTCTAACACACACTCACAGCGGCTGGTGTTGCTGCTGTCAGAGCGGAAACTAAAGCTGATGCTCTCTGTGTGTGTTTCCCTCATCTCTCCAGTTGTGTTCATATGTAAATTACAAAAGCTTATTTTGTCAAAAATTTCTGAAAAGGTATTTGAACTCCCCTTTCGACAAACTTGAAGTTATGGTTACAGATACACCATGCAACCTTTGTCCCTATAGCTGTTAAGAAAAAAACCTGCGTGTATTTTGTGGAAGAAAATTGTTTTGGTTGTGCTTCGCCTCTCTGTGTGTGTGTGTGTGTGTGTGTGTGTGTGTGTGTGTGTGTGTGTGTGTGTGCGTGTGCAGATGAATATGATTAAACTGCTCATAAAACATTCTCTATAGGTTTAAGAGATATAACCAGTTTAGATGGAAAGGACCTCAAGCTGACTAGCTGAAGATTGTGGGTTATGCTAACAAACATAAGCTACAGAATGAATTTGTATTTTGTGAGAGTATTTATGGTGCGTTCTATTATTCATCCGTCTCGGAGATCCGAATCGGACGACAGACGTTGCCTAGCAACACGCCCCCTTTCCTCGGATTTCTCCTCTCGGACGTCGGACAACCGTGAGGACACCGAGCAAGAATTCTGTTTCTAAATTCAAGATGGCTGCGCCTGTGACTTGTAAGAATGAATTGTTTTCATTGTTTTTGAACCGCTTTGGTATTTTAAATCGCTCGTATTACCCCTGTAGGTATGGGAATCGGTTGTTGTGAGTGCAATTACTAACGTAGCTAGCGTTGCTAACAGAAGATTAACATGAAAAACATTAAATAAAGTGAACATTTTCAAGTTCAAATGGCTGCGTTTTGATAAGGTGTAGTCAATATATTTTTTTTAATGTAAGTGCCTGGTAGTCGGCCAGTGCTACCATTATAACAGCTTTCCGGGTGGCGTCCATTTTTTTCTCCAACTCGGACACGCAAAACATAATAGAACGCTTGAAGTGTGGACGTGACGTCAAATCCGAGGTCCGAGTTGGTTCGTTGGCAACAATAAAACGCACCATTATTACTCTCAAAGGGGGAAATGTGGTATTACAAATTTATTAAATGTTTAATTTAGATTCCAGTATAAACTGAGAAATGGTCTGTACATTGAATTTAGCATTGAAAAAGTTACAGGCACAAGACGTTATTGTATCTTACAACAACCATAATGAAATGAGCCTTCGCAATAGATAATGCTTTATAATGAACTAGACTCATATGGCTATTTATATGTTCAATAAAACTAGGGATGTCTCGATTAGAGCCAGACCGATATATCGGCAGGCCGATATTATCGGCCGATATTAGGCATTTTCCAAACTATCGGTATCGGCAGTTATAATGGCCGATAAATGAATATTTCAAAAATAAAATAAAAACAGACGAAACACGCTTGAACCATGTCATGAGTGTTGGAGTTGTATAGTTTGTCCACCAGTGGGCACTCTACACCATCCCTTTTGGCAACACTCGTTGAGTGGGTCACGATACATACATTGCTTGAATAACAATTAAAAGAACATCCACATCAGTTCTCTTAACTCAAATAATAATAGACAAAATTTGTGACTATCATGTCCAGTTTTGCTACTGCTAAATAAGCCGAGAGTGAAGCGGAATTAGCTAGTAATAGTTACGTTATGTTGTTACAGTGTAGTTGACTGACTGTTCTTTTAACTTTTGACAATGTGACTGAAGTATTTCTTTAATAGCGCGTGACAGTTATAGCAATGAGACGTATCATCTCTCCTAGGCCTGTTATATTGAAAATGTGTTTTACAATTTGCAGTATGACGTTATCCATTGCTAAATTATAACTCATCATAGACTAGCTAACCACAAAGCTAAATAATGCCACTATCATCAGTCTGTTCTGTCGTGACAATAAAAGAAACAAGTTTGCATTATCATATTATTTTAGTTAAAACTCATAAATAACTGCAAATAACTAATGTTAGGGAAATCTGTTAATGTTTTGTTGCGCGTTTCTGAAATAAAAAATATCGGCCGATATATCGGAATATCGGATTTTAAAACCAACAAATATTTGTATCGGTATCGGCCTTCAAAATCCTTTATCGGTCGGGCTCTAGTCCCGATCCGATCAAGTGAAATCGGGCCCGATCACGTGGTTTCAGACTCGGATGTTACCTCCCGATCAGGACTCGGCTGTATAGCCTACATGTATATATTCTCAGTATTTTTAAACACATCTATAGTTATGTTTATGTTATGTTTACATATTTATATTTTGTTCATTTTAAACAAAGAAAAAGTTCCATTGTGTATCACGCGTACGATCACACCGGTGTGATCAGTCTTGGCTGGTCCCTGGAGCGTACGATCACACCGGTGTGATTAGAACGTTCAGTGCACACGTCAGCAACTGCTAAATTCAAACTTGCTCTCGCGCGTTGGCTGGCGCTCAGCCAGAGACAGACGCACTCAGTGCTGTCATATATCACAACTATTGAGTGTTTTCAACCACATAATGTTTATTTTAGGTTTCAGACATTTAAATACACATATGTACTACTAGCAAAACAATGATTTTGAGTTTGTAAAATGCACACAGATGTCTATGGAAGCGGCAATAATAATCCTTTCAATTATAATAACGACACGTTTTATTCATATCAGATACACATTGTGTAAGTAGCTTAACATTTGATCCTATTCTTCTCCCAGTTCACCAGCCACTTACTATCATGTATTTCGTGAGAAGTTGATGAATTGACGTTATAAATCCAACAGATCCGATTCTCTGAACTGAAAACGAAACTAAAATGGCGCCGCCCGTTGTGCATACAGCTCAACTAACGCGATCGTTATAAAGATGTCTAAACAACAAAACCCATCCACTTGCACATATTTGACAATCGGAATATCAGTGTTTCATGATATAGCTAATACATTTTTGAATATTTTTAATAAAAAAGGAAAAATGACATAAAAGCAGATCGTCATTCATTCCGCGCTCTGTTCTGGTTGTGCTGTGTCACGTGACAAGCAATGACGCGTCACCATGGAAACATTAAAGTGGCAAGTTCTAAATAACGGTCGCCTTGAAAAACTCACGCTGGGGGGTCAGTTAGAATATTTTAAACTTACGTGTGAAAGGGTTAAAGTCTTTCTTGGACTAGAAATGTTTAACCATTAGCAAACCACAAAATCCGCCTGCTTTTGTAATGAGATGCACATCCTTTTGTGTGTTTTTCCTGGAGTCAGCTGCTCTCAACAAATTGATGGCTGCATTGTTAAAACGACGGATGCAGAAAATGTTTCTATTCACCATTTTCTTTTATTCCCGGACACCCCAAAAACAACCCCGTCCGCCAATCTCAAACTTATGAAAAAATGTTAAATCGACAAAAATAAAGAAATTCAGTTTAGCATTTTTTCAAAAAGCAGCCTGTTACGTTAGACTATTAACCTTTATCGGCGTCTGTAAGCGCGACATTATTTAAAATGATTAGAGTCGCAGCTTCTCCATCACACCACAGTGACCCTTTCACACCCGTTTCAAGCACAACCCTACATTTATTTCTAAAGACTATTTATTGCAACATTTCTTTATTCAGATTCTGTTCAGTTTTGGGGGACATTCCCTCGTAACAGCAAGGCCGTGTGAAAACAGACGAGGGTGAGAGATGATGTGCTGGCCGAATGCAATCTGTCTCTTCCTTTGTGAAGTCATGCCGAGGAAGCGAGGACTCGGCCATGTCTACACAACACTCAGTTTAAAGAAGCACTGTAGCGCTTTTAATTAAAGGGATAGTTCACCCAAAAATGAAGCCCATGATTTACTCACCCGGAAGCCATCTTAGGTGTATATGCCGTTCTTGGGAGTTATGCTAAAAATGTCCTGGGTCATCCAACCGTTATAATGGGTGTCAATGGGTATATATTTTTTAGAAGTCCATCAAAGCGCGTCAATCCGTGATAAAAGTCCTCGAAACGGCTCTGAGGGGTTGATAAAGGTCTAAGACAAAAATCCATATTTAAAACTTTATCGTTTTTATAACTAAACTAAACTTTATAAACTTTATTATTTTATACTAAAATATCTTGCTTCCGGCAGACGGTCGATGTCTTATCCGCTTCCATTTCATGCTGACTTCAATTTTCTAACCCTAAGTTTTCATTGCTGCCTGACGTGAATAATAAATATGTTTTTTTTATTATATATAATAAAAATCCAGTGTACTTGCACTGAGCGAGGGGCCTTTAAGTTTGCTTTATCGATCTCCCTCCACTCGGATTTTCTTCAGAACGCATAAATGTGTTTCTGCTATTTTTAATAGTCTTTATATTTCCGAATTAGAAGAACTTGAGGTGTTATGGGCATGTTTTTACTGCAGCTGTGTGTCTTATAAGAGTCTAAGGCCTCGTTTTTACACTGTCAGTGAAATGTGACCCGATTCCCTTTTTTTTTGATCATGTGTGACACAGATTGGATGTGTAAACAGGGAAAAACGCATACATTTGGATATTTTGAGATCGGTGAAGGTTCAGATAGTAGGCTATGTCAAGTTGAAACACACTTGGTCACAATTGAAAGAACGGATGGTAAACATAGGTAAACATCAAGACTTGCAGTGTAAACGAGGCCTAACTGTGCATTTCTTCTAGATCTTCATCCACTTGTTGCCTCCATACCTGGGGATGCTGCGACCTAAAGTGGAAACGCCTCTGTTTCTCGAGAAGCCTTCCAAAAAGGAGAACATCCAAGCCATCAGCCGAGTGGCAGACGAGTACTTCATCCGCAAGCCCAATAACACCAACTTCCTCTTCCCCAAACCCCACAGGTGAGGCTCAGATCATCAAACGGGTCAGTGAGAATAGATAGCTGGTTTTATGGGGGCTGCTTTCTTGAGATACACTCTTAGAAGAAAAGGTTCTATATAGAACCTTAAAAGGTTCTATCAGCGCTACGTATTTGGAACCCCTAAAAGGTTCTATACACTCTTAAATAAATGGTTCCTCTGGGTTCTATATAGAACCCTGAGGTTCCACACTTGGCCAATAGAACCTTTTACCAAAAAAAATGGTTCTATATAGAACCATTTTGGAGTTCCATATATGAAGCGGGGGATGGAACCATTTTTGGTTCTAAATAGAACCATTTCTTCTAAGAGTGTAAGTGTCACCACTTGAGCACAGGTGGTGAATATATTATGTATGCAGTAATGAACCTATTTAAGGATTCATTATGATTATTTTGGAGGCACCTTTCAGACCCCTGAAGTGTCCGTATTCGGTGATTGATTTTCAAAATAATGTCCATTTGCTATCAATTAACTATCAATTTGCAACAAGAATATTTTCATACTCCTAAGGCGTGTTAATTTTGAAACAGTGATGAATTAAAATCATGAACGAATGGTTGAAACCTCATGCCAATAATTCAAAAGATGACATCCATTTAATTTTATTTTAGAAAAAAAGGTCTGAAAATGTTTTAAATTTAAAGAAAAAAATGATACATTCACCATTTGTGATGTGGCAGCGAGCTATAACGCACATGCGTGTTATTTTTAGGTGTGAGATTTTTATTAGAGGTTGAATTCATCAGAATATGCCAGACTTCCCTTACTACTTGTGAATAGGATGCCTACTTCATAAATTGTATGAAAATTGTGGAAATAATGGTTCAGATCATTCAAAACACACATGGAAATGTCTGGTTTTGTGTCCCTAGTGGAAAAGTGTGGTACTGCGCACAAACACAACTCACTGAAAGCTCATTTTTTTGAGATGTCAACCTAAAAATGTAAAACAGAACTTATATATTAGAAAAAAATATATTTTATTTAACATTTTCTTAAAATCATACTTCTATAACTTACCTTCTGTTTCACTTTCTTAATTATTTAACTTTTACAAAAATATGTCTTCTTTAAAACAAGACCAACCACATGTATATCCCAAAGCATTCTTGAATCACAACCATTTAAGTTCGGCTTGTCAAAAAAAGGAGGTTAAAGACCCAAGAAGACGCATTGAAAATCTGGGACTCAAAGATCTGAATCTAGTAACTTTAATAGAACTTTTTAATTAAAGTTATAAGGTTTTTAATCATGTTCTCAAAACATTTGCACAAAAACATTATTTATGCATCGTAATACTTGTTACAGTATTTTAGGATTTTCAGAGAACATTGAAAAATAATGTTTTTAAGTGAAAAAACGTTCTTGGGGAATCACATAACTTCATTTGTAACATTGATTATGTGACTCTTTTATACAGATATGGTCAGATGGTCTTGTTTCCTTGGAGTTCATGCAAATAATGTAGCCTGTTTTATTATTAAAATGCTAAATAAAGGCATTTTCGTGTGTGAGAGAGAGAGAGAGAGCATGGCTGATCGCCTTAGGGTTTGATTAATCCTTTACTCTCTCACACACACACTTTAAATCATCTCAACCAGGGAATTGCTCTGTGTGTATCTGGGGTATATGTGAATGTGGGGGTGTGAAAAAGAGAAGAAATCATCACTAAAATAATAGCAATCAGCACAAACGGGCTCTGACACATTAGACCCGTCCTGAATCAGGAGTGTGTGAGAGAGGGAAATTCGATGAGGCAGTGGTATTGTGCTTTTTAATTGGGTTTATAGTGTGTTTTGGCACAATTTCCACCATGGTTTAGTCAAATTAGTCTTTCCTGATTAGTCATGTGTCTGTCGATGAGGAAGGAGGAGGAAAGAACGAACAAAGACTGGCAGAGGATGCCTTTGACCTTTTCTTTCATTCATTTAATACACTGCTAGTGTTGTGCAGCCACTAGCCAGACTTCGATTATTGCCATCCGAGTTAATCAAGATATGCAAGACGTTTGCTGACACTGTGAGATGGTCTGTATGACTTTTTACTGTGATTGGCTCATTGCGTTTGAGGGCGTGGCTTAGCCATAGGTCAATTCAACGATTTCTGAACCGATCATGATTACTCCTCAATAGATCGAGTCCAGACCGAACTTCCCGACCAAAACGTTTTGTGGCCGGGGGTTCGGGCTGGCGTCCAGGCTAAGGGAAAGCAAGAACTGATAGGAATGTAAAAAATGTGTACGTTGTATGTCACTGTGGATAAAAGCGTGATCATGTTAATGCTGTTCGAGGATCTAAATCAAGGTACATGCTAGATGTTAAAGTTCACTTTTTAAAAAAATTTTGCTGATAATTTACTCACCCCCGTGTCATCCAAGATGTCCACGTCTTTCTTTCCTCAGTCGAAAAGAAATTAAGGTTTTTGATGAAAACATTCCAGGATTTTTCTCCATATAATAGACTTCAATGGGGACCAAACGGTTCAAGGTCCAAATGAGAGTTTCAGTGCAAACTGTTCAAAGGGCTTTAAACGATTCCAGACGATGAATAAGGGTCTTATCAAGCGAAACGATCGCTCATTTAATAATTAAATAACAAAGTTTAAGTTTTATAAGCTCAAATGTTCTGTGATGCGCGTTCGTGACTCTCCTGTTCGAACTCGTGCATCAAAATGAAAGAATCTTTTTCCAAGTCAACTCGTTCATTTTGTTCATTGAATCAACCAAATGACACAAAGAAAGATTCGTTAATTTTGATAAACCAGTTCGAACAGGAGAGTCACGAACGCGCATCACAGAACAAAACAAAGGCGAGCATTTGAGCTTATAAAACTTAAACTTTGTTTTTTTTAAATGGCCGATCGTTTCGCTTGATAAGACCCTTATTCATCGTCTGGAATCGTTTCTACCAGAAAGACTCGGGAGAATAAATACTGTAACAATAAATACATTTATTGATAGCCCAGCAAGCAATAAAGTTCGTTGCACTGAAACCCTCATTTGGACCTTGAACCGTTTGGTTCCCATTGAAGTCCATTATATGGAGAAAATCCTGGAATGTTTTCATCAAAAACCTTAATTTCTTTTCGACTGAAGAAAGAAAGACGTGGACATCTTGGATGACACGGGGGTGATTAAATCATCAGCAAAAGTTTTTTTTAAATGTGAACTACTCCTTTAAAGCTTTCCTGTGACGGTCTCCCCGCCCGGTACTAACGTATGTCTCAGTCTAATGGGGTTCATCTCGGGTCACTGAAGCTCACTGGGGAACCTGCAATGAGCTCCTGTCCGTCCCAGCACCTGAATGCACAAACACAGATGAGGAGTGAAGAGTCACACTGACCCCTCGTGGTGGGATGGGGAGGTGTAGTATCTGGGAAATTGATGAGGAGCCGTGGGAGAGAAAGAAAGAGAAGGGGATTCATAATGAAACAGATGTTCGTGAACAGATTCTCAAAAGAGGAATGCAACACATCAGCGGTGATAAGCATTTCATCAGCACATCGGGAGGATTTCATGGGTGGGTGGTTACACCATCAGCATTAAACAGATTCAGGGGGGGGAGGGGAGAAAGATTATGACTCTGAGTGACTAACTGAATGATTGAGTGAGTGTTTTAAAATGAAAGAATGAGTGATTTAAATGAATGAGTTAAAGGGACTCGTCATTTCAAACCCGCAAGAGTTTCGTTCATCATCGGAGCACAAATGAAGATCGTTTTGATGAGATCTGAGAGCTTTCTGTCCCTCCTTTGACAGTTTACGCAAACTTTGACGCTTCGAAAAGTTCCTAAAAAGATTGTAAAACTAATCCATATGAATTGAGCGGTTTAGTCCAAGTATTCTGAAGAGATTTGATCACATTATATATAATGTTTTTATGTCAGTCATTTCTAGGGTTGGGTATCGTTTGAATTTGAACGATTCCGATTCCTTGTTTCGATTCCGGTTCCTAACGATTCTCGATTCCGATTCTTCTAAGAGGCAGGGTCAAAAAAGTTTAGCTAACCTTGCTAACCAACGGTCTTTCGGAAGGAAAAAATCCATTCTGAAGGAAATACTCCTTCTGTAAAAATACTCCTTTTGTCACAAATTTAGCATTTTGCCGAGATTTCGTTATTTTTAGAAAAGTGAAGCCACACTTTGGACCGCCGACGTAAGGTACTCATGTTCGACTCGCGTGGTTATGCCAACACTTCCGGTAGACGCTTCTTCATTGGTGTTGTTTCTTCTTCCGCTCGGCGGACTGTGAATATCGAAACTAGGAATCGAAATTTTAACTTTTGAACGATTCTGGGAAAAACGAAAAGTTAGTCTCGGTTCCAATCGATACTCGATTCTCGATACCCAACCCTAGTCATTTCTCATTGGAATGGGTCACCTTGACACGGGGCTTTTGAGAAACTGCTTCTTTTTCTGATGTGGGATTATGTGGACACACACACACACACACACACATCCCAGTGCATTCTAAGGCTTTAAATGCTTACACCCTTTTCTCAAGGACAAAGTAATCTGATCCCGCATGGATTTAGACTCGTGTTCATAACTTCCTGATACAATCTGAGAAATTTACTGAGGTCAACTCTTCAACTTCAGAAAAAGGATATTTAAAGAAATAGTATATGCAAAAAATTTAAAAAAAAAAATCTATTTGCTCACCCTTATGTCATTCCAAACCTGTGTTACTTAAATGTTAGTAAGGAAACCGTTTCAGTTCCTATTGACTTCTATTATGTGGAAAATAAAAGATCCCTTTAAGTTTAAGCATGTTTTACCACAGTCAATAACATTATATTTTATACTGCATGCATTTGTCCAAAAGCTACTTGCATTGCATTCAAAGTATATATTTGAACAGTTCATGCATTTACGTACTGGGACTGAAACCTATGACCTTGGGGTTACTAGTGGCACATGATTATGGTTCATATGTAACAGAACATTTCTGGTATGTGTGTACAAACATTTGAAGGTAACTATCACTACCCTGAAGGAGAAGTGTGTATTTTCAGTGTGTATGTTCAACGGGACCTTGTGCTTGCAGTGTATTGTGTGTGTGTGTGTGTTTATATAAAGCATGTTTCTGGGCAGTTCACACATTAAATAAAGCCAAGCCTGCCCTTATCTGAATAAATCAGTGTTGTGGAAAGTTACTTTTTATGGAAAGTGTTGTTACAATACTTTCTTGATTGTTTTGTTTTGTTATATTATATTTAGTTATATTTTTGGCCTTTTCACAGCAAAAGTGAATAAATTTAAAAATTCACATCCTAATGTTCGGATCATTTTGCTGACTCTCTTGTTCGATCTCGTTTGTCAAAATTAGCAAATCTTTTTTCGAGTCGTTTCATTCATTAAGTGGCTTTAAATGTTACACATCAACAAATCCACCTACGCAATATTGATCATATTCTGAAATAAGAAATAATTATTTTGCAGTCAAAAATAATTTACAGGGAACATAAATAATTACTTTACCATCCGAGTGTTTGGTTCATTTATCACGTGACAGACGCAATTCATGATAGACCCATCACTACAACACTTTAGCTGTAAAATACAATTTTAAACCCATTATCTGTAGGGTTGGGTATCGTTCGAATTTGAATGATTCTGATTCCAATTCCGATTCCTTGTTTCAATTCCGGTTCCTAGCGATTCTCGATTCCGATTCTTTTAAGACGCAGGGTCAAAAATGTTTAGCTAACCTTGCTAACCAATGGTATTTCTGAAGGAAATACTCCTTCTGTCACAAATACTCCTTTTGTCACAAATTTAGCATTTTGCCGAGATTTCGTTATTTTTTAGAAAAGTGAAGCCACACTTTGGACCGCCGACGTAAGCTACTCATGTTCGACTCGCGCGGTTATGCCAACACTTCCGGTAGATGCTTCTTCTTTGGTGTTGTTCAGCGGTTTCTTCTTCCGCTCGGCGGACTGTGAATATCAAAACTAGGAATCGAAATTTTAACTTTTGAACGATTCCGGGAAAAATGAAAAGTTAGTCCCGGTTCCAATCGATACTCGATTCTCGATACCCAACCCTAATTATCTGTTCACTGATGCCGACAGTGATGCTTTTTATTTCCCATCTCCATACATATTTCTAGTAGTAAAGCGAATGCAAGGGTTAGAAATCAATTAATTCTTTGCTAATACTTCCTCATCATCATGGAGAGCGCAGTTCACACCGCTTTCTCCTTTCCGCAAGCGCTCGCTCTCCCGTTTCGTCTGTTGTTGCTATGCAACAATGAACTCGCGCGCCTGTAAAAACGAGCACGCCGCTATTATGAGCTAATATCCAAAATATTTCAATATGTGGCTCTTTCCTCCTTTCTTATCAACAAGTGTATTTACGTACAGCCACCACCGACTTTGTACCAATTGTACCGACTTTCTGGGTCTTTGACCACACGTTTTTCCACATGCCTGGCTTATGTTTTCAATGGGAGCGGCGCGTTTTTTAACACCATGAGCGTAACCATAGACATATACACTAGACCTCACCTTGGCTACGGCAGTTCATTGGAACGAATGCGTCAATAGAGCCGCCATCTTGAAACAGGGGAGCCCCTCCACTTTAATGCATCAGCGTCAATGTAGTAGACACAGGTCTAACGCAAATAAAATCATCACAAATCATCATGAATGTGATTTTTCTTGTTTTTTGGTTTGTTCCAACGGTCAGACATGTATTTATCATTGATTCCAGAAAGAATTTTTTTTTTTTTAATTTTTTTAAAATTTTTTGTAAAACATTCTTCCTAGTTCAGATTTCATCCGTGAACATCATACGCTGCACAAAAGTCCGCCACCATCAATGAATTCGAAGTAAAGGCAGAGATAGCAGCGTTACCTAGCTACTTCCTATGACAAGACCCCTGTTCCAAGATGGCGGCGGTTTTGACGCATGCTTAGAACCCCCAGGTGAGGTCTAGTGTATATGTCTATGGAGAGTAACGAGGCGCAGGTTTTTTTTAAATGTTTTTTTACTGGTCACCGGGAGTGGAAAAATGTTCAACTTTGGATAAAACGTGCAGCGCTCATCACTGTCACTTTTTACCCAGCTGTCCAATCACAGTGGAGAAGGGGCGGGACTAAACCACACTGACCAACTGTCACAACATTCTTCTGTACAACGACATCAACCAACAGAGCTAGCCGAACAACATTCGTATTATACGTTTTTAGTATGAAACAAATTATCTGCGAAATCAGTTACAAGTAAACTGTGCTGCGGATATTCTGTATCATAGCAACGAAACGTCTCAACGGAAAAAACTCTGCGCTGCCTAAAGCGACGCGATACCATTCATTTCAATGGTGAGTAAGCGACTTCCGGTGACACGCGCGACAGCGACCTTGGCGACCGGTGGGGCGTGTCCAGCGACGCGACAAAGTTGAAAAATGTTTAACTTTATGCAAACGAAGGGCGATTTTCGCGAGCGACAACCAATAGGAGTGAAGTCAGTGGGGCGCGTCACTCTTCATTGCTGAGTCTGACTGAGGCAAGTTGAACGAGAAGCTCATTTTAGCAGTCCGAAACGGTCCTATAATGTATGATATATCTCCGTGTACATGCAGTGGTGTTCACCATACTGACTCCGTGATTTGAATGGTTTCAGGGAACCCAGATAGACCGGTATTTGCCCGTTTGCTACAGTTAAATAGCCGCGATGGCAAAGAGCACTCACTGTTTCTCGTTCATCTTTAATATTATGCATTTTATGTACTGATTCCATTTATATTTAGACTTTTCCTTACAAAATATTTGTTTGTGATGGCAATAAAACATAGAGTAATTTCCATAAATGTCACTCACAAACATTACTAGGCAACCAGAAGTGGGGAACGCCCTCCAGCGCAGCCACAGGTGACCTGCAGCGATAAAGTCGCGTGTAGTGTGAACGGGGCTTAAGGCCGTGTGTCCACCAAAGCGTTTTTTTTAGCCGGCTGAAAACGGCAGAAGCAATTCTCTGACTCGTCATCTGGTATAATTGAAACGATTGGCTACGAGCTACGTACATGCGCGTTTGATAGACATTCGTAGCACCCAATAAACGGCTCTGGGCATTGGTAAACCACGCCTCAAATACGAGGAATTAACATCTCAATGTCAATGTGGTCTGACGTTAGCCAGGCTACATTACGTTACTAGTTCCTTGAGAAAAATTAATGTTTTGGGAAACTTGTGATGTTAATCCCAAACCCTGGTTGCAGTGTACAGTGATATTGCTCCTGTGTTGCAGGTTCCAGCCCGATGGTCAATGCACTGACCTGAGGAAGTTCATCGACGGCCCGAGTCATTTCCTCTGTCTCCCTCCGGAGCTCAAGGCGGCCGTGGACGCCATCACTTACATCGCGGAGCAACTGCAGGCCGAGAAAGACTACGTGGCTGTAAGTCATTTACAATCATAACCAGCAGGCTTGTGACGAATTCGTTTATATATATATATATATATATATATATATGCAATGCAATATCTGACATACATATTTTAAGTAAACTGTTTAGCAATGAAGCTTTACAGTATAAGAATTTCTTTACATTTTTATTCAATGAATTCAAATTCAAAATAAGCCCCTCCCCCTCCGCTTCCGGCTCACGGGACCTTATTTCGGAAAAAATATGGATGGTGGTTAATGTTACTACCTAACTGTTAACTGTCACGAGGATGCTCTTCTTCTGTTGTTTGTCCTAGATCGTGCTGTAGGGGGATTCGTTCATGTTAGAGACCCCTTGTGTCCCCGACAGGAAAATACACTGCTGCGCGATCTGTGACAGTAGGTGCGCCGTCTATTATGTCACATTGGAATTGCGCGAAAATATGACGATATTCGAAAAAGCAATTTTATGATCGATTTTCGAACGCAGTTCGACTAATCGAAGATCGCGACTCATCCCTAATGACGGCGTAACGTTACGATTATAATGCAAGACTTTAGAAACAATGACGGATGTTAGCTTCAGCAGAGTTAGCTTCAGTAGAGTTAGCTTCAGCAAAGTTAGCTTCAGTAAAGTTAGCTTCAGTAAAGTTAGCTTCAGTAAAGTTAGCTTCAGTAATGTTAGCTTCAGTAAAGTTAGCTTCAGTAATGTTAGCTTCAGTAAAGTTCGCTTCAATAAAGTTAGCTTCAGTAACGTTAGCTTCAGCAAAGTTAGCTTCAGTTAAAGTTAGCTTCAGCAAAGTTAGCTTCAGCAAAGTTAGCTTCAGCAAAGTTAGCTTCAGCAAAGTTAGCTTCAGTAAAGTTAGCTTCAGCAAAGTTAGCTTCAGCAAAGTTAGCTTCAGTAAAGTTAGCTTCAGCAAAGTTAGCTTCAGCAAAGTTAGCTTCAGTAAAGTTAGCTTCAGCAAAGTTAGCTTCAGTAAAGTTAGCTTCAGCAAAGTTAGCTTCAGCAAAGTTAGCTTCAGTAAAGTTAGCTTCAGCAAAGTTAGCTTCAGTAAAGTTAGCTCAGCAAAGTTAGCTTCAGCAAAGTTAGCTTCAGTAAAGTTAGCTTCAGCAAAGTTAGCTTCAGCAAAGTTAGCTTCAGCAAAGTTAGCTTCAGTAAAGTTAGCTTCAGCAAAGTTAGCTTCAGCAAAGTTAGCTTCAGCAAAGTTAGCTTCAGCAAAGTTAGCTTCAGTAAAGTTAGCTTCAGCAAAGTTAGCTTCAGCAAAGTTAGCTTCAGCAAAGTTAGCTTCAGCAAAGTTAGCTTCAGTAAAGTTAGCTTCAGCAAAGTTAGCTTCAGCAAAGTTAGCTTTAGCAAAGTTAGCTTCAGCAAAGTTAGCTTCAGTAAAGTTAGCTTCAACAAAGTTAGCTTCAGTAATGTTAGCTTCAAAGTTGGCTTCGGTAGAGTCGGCTTCAGCAAAGTTAGCTTCAGCAAAGTTAGCTTCAGTAATGTTAGCTTCAAAGTTGGCTTCGGTAGAGTCGGCTTCAGTAAAGTTAGCTTCATTCATTGAGAGAAAATGTGCGCCTTTAGGGTTTGTAATCTTTGTAATTACGTATTTTCACAGTCTTAAACCTCAACAGTTTTACATCAAACTGCGACTTTCTTGACTTTAAAATGTATCTTTTTAAATTGACAAACATCATATGTGTAATTCAAGGCACAATCCAAACGAGATCAAAATATTTGTTGTCTCTCGACATTGACTACCATACAATATTTTTCCGAAATAAAGTCCCGTGGTGGTCGACCAGAAGGGGAGGGGCTTAGGCTCTCTATGCTTTGATCATGTTTCTGACATCAATTCAAATTCTGGAGTCATTCTCAATTCAATTCTGTGTTGTGCACAAGCCTGGTTTCTCTTCCTGCTTCTCGAATTCTTCACATTCCCTTCCTTCTCATTGTTTTTCTCTCTTCTTGTCCTCCTCGTCCTGTCTGTCTCTCAGTTGAAGGAGGACTGGCAGTTTGTTGCCATGGTGGTTGATCGACTCTTTCTCTGGATCTTTGTGGTTTTTACCACCGTCGGGACGCTGGGCATCTTCACTTATGCCAGCTTCAATGCCACTCCCACTGACCCCTTCCCCTAAACCTGACAGCTCACAAACATTGGCATGTGATGTGTTAGACACTGTTCAGTGTGTATTTATGGTCTTTTACTACTACACAAAGAGCACAGCGATTCATTCACATTATATTTCAAAATTTCTGTATAGAGGAGCGCTTCCAGGACTCAAAATGTTTGAAATGGGATAATCATATTTAGCCAAAATTCAGGAAACTTTTTAGAAAGGCTTTTGATTTTTCGCTACATGATATTTCCATTAAGACAATGGATGGATGCATCAAAACAGCTTTATTATTGCCGAGTTTAGTTGAATTTTAAACAATTAGGTCTGTGAATCGAATACAATAATCTATGGATTACTGGAAATAATTATTTTAAAGAATTACAGGGATGCTTAAAAAATTAATGAACCGTGACTCTAAAGACATCATAATGTTACAAAGGATTTCTGTCTGATAAATGCTATTTTAAACTATATATTCATCAAAGAATCCTGATAAAAGCGATCTTGGGTTCCAGCACAACTGTTTTCAGCATTGATGATAATCAGAAATGTTTCTCGAGCGTAGACTGATTTCTGAAGGGTCATGTGACTCTGAAGACTGGAGTTATGATGCTGGAAATCACAGGAATTAGTTATATTTTTAAATATATTCAAATAGAAATCATTAAGTGTGATAATATTTCTCAATATTTCTGTTTCTCAAACTTTATCGTATTTTTGATCAAATAAATGATACTACTTTTTACAGAAATAAAGCTGTCACTGCGACGGCATCAAATGATACTAATAAGCACAAGATACTAATATGTATACTTTATAGCAATATCATGTGTGTTTAAGAGAGTAAAATGCACCCTTCAGGGGTAAACCTGGTGCAGAGGGTTGCCTTTAGAAAGGGTGCCGCCCCAGTGACGGCTTTTGGACCTTTTTTTCTGGGAGTGTAGTCTACATACATTTATGCCTGGTGTGCAAGAAGTGTGTGAAGGCTGTTCTAGTCATGATGTTTTTATGTGATGAATAAAGAGCAAAGGTGTTCAGGAAATCTGCTTTTTTTAAAGACTACAAAAAGTTTCTTGCGTTGTGTGTGTGTTGTTAAAAATATGTATGATAATACATTTTGTATTCACAACACGTGTGTACAACTGTATTGTTTGTATACTAGGGTAGGCATGAACAATACAATAGGTTCTACACTACCAATCAAGTCAACCCCTGAATAATTAATTTCAATTCATTTTAAATAACCAGCTAATATTCATTAAGAATATAGACACACTTTTGATTACTGTGCTTGTCTAGATTAGCAATACAGTATGTTGGTAAAATATATATTTTTTCAACAAATGTAATGCATTTTTTGCATTTGTGTGGTAAAAATTACCTTTAAAGAAGATCTACATTTCTCATTTTCATTCATTGAGATAACATGGGAAATGTTTTCTGTCGCCTGGTGGAAAACAAACACGTTTAACATGAAAATGACAGTAGATGGCAGTAGAGGACCATTCGTTTGCCATTCCCACTCCCTTTCATAGCTCTTTTCACATGTTGCTTTTGGATTTATTATAAAATGAATATTATAATAAATATTATTGCACTGAAGAGTAGGACATGTCACAAAGTCTCATTTCATTTAGATGAGAGAAATTTCATAAAATAAATAAATAGCCTAAATATGTAAGCCCAGATTTACAGTGGATTGGATTGGTCTTTAATGCTAAAGCCCTCCTAAAATGAGCCTAGTGACACCGCTGGAGGAGATGCAGGGACATGTTTGGGTTTTTTCATAAATTGGTCTGAAAATCTTACATCATTCTGTACTCACGTGACGTGAACAGGGTGGCCGCAAGTCCTTAAAAAGTAAGTCTTAAATAAAGTTTTCCTAGTAAATGGCCTTAATGTATTAAAATGTCTTAAATTCAGATTCAATGGGTCGTAAATATTTCTGGTCACATTACCGCTAAACTTTCTCCAGTCTGACGGACCCAATGTCTGTCAAATAACCGGCGAAGCATCGGATCGCGAGAATGATTCTGATTTTATTCCATGATCAGCGATTGATAATGATAATGTGTATCTGGTGGCGCTGTTGAGATTTTATAGTGAGAAATCATAAACAGCACACATAAAAACTCACAGAAGAAACACACTGAGTTTTTTTTATTTATAACATTAGTTAAGTTACATAACATAACGGGAGCTATTTTGCTGAATATTCTCATGATTGCAAATGTAACATTGATTTTAGTTCAATAAACAAGTAGTTAATATTAATTACTTAGGTTAAATATTAACCATATTACTAGGGCTGTCAAACGATTAATTGCGATTAATCGCATCCAAAATAAATGTTTGTGTTTACATAATATATATGGGTGCACTGTGTATAATTATTTTATATATACAAAAACACACACATGTTTGTATATATTTAAGAAATATTTTCATGTATATACTGTATATAGATGTATATATAATTTATATATATATATATATATATATATATAATACTTTTTTATTAAATATACATGCATGTGTGTGTAAATATAAATATATGTGTATATATATATATATATATATATATATACAAAATAATTATACACAGTGTACCCTCATTATGTAAACACAAGCTTTTATTTGTTGAAGCGATTAATAGCGATCACTGTTTTCCATCTAATTGCACGTAATGTGTATTTCCATCATATGTTAGGTCTTAAATTTCATTCAAAAAAAGGTTCTAAATTTAAATTTAACTTGTATAACTTGTACTTATATCTGTAGACACCCTGCGTAAACAACGAGATCTCAGAAGAGATTCAGAATTACTTGTAAAAGGCTGAAAATAGTTCCTCGACCCACATCAAGTCTTATGTATAAATTACACAGCGATCGATCTGAACGAAGTCCGACGTTTCACTGCCCACACTAACTCTGTGCATCTCTGAGTTTACGGGTGTTTTGAATGAGATATTCTCAGAGGAGATTGTTTGTGTTGCTCTTGTCCGAGTGTAATTTACAGCCTGTCCGTTTGTCCTGTCAGCATGTCGGCTAACAGATGTCTAAAGCACGTCGACTGCGCTCTAAATCAATAAACAGCCGTTGCTGCAATGATTGTTATTACTAAAATTGCACTTTGAATACTTTAAGCTGTTGTCATTGTGCTCATTTCTGAGTGATATTGTATGCGTGTGTGTGTGTGTGTGTGTGTGTGTGTCTGCCCTTGAAAACTGAACCCCGTTCACTTCCATTGCGTTTCTGCATTTCAATTAATAGTACAATTCCATTCAATTTAACTGAATAATTCTTAAATATTCATTTGAATTATGAATTAAGAATGGATCTTAATAAAACATGTGTATAAATCCTGAACTATGCTTATAACTCTTTAAATCTTTGCTAATTATAGGAAGTAATACGGAATGACTCTTTACATTAAAGCAGTAGCCTAGTGAGAACAGGGTGTTGGGGAATCACTTTTTTTTTCTCTTTTTCATCAAACCGCAGTTTTTCCAAGTTCCTGTAATTTCATTGCGTACAATTGCATAAATATCCTGCATATTCCATTGCATTTTTTAAAGGGGTCATATAATGGTACTTGCACTTTTACAAGTTGATTGTATCACTCTTAGAAAAAAGTTCTATATATGTAGCATAGGGTTCTTTACTCAACTGCAAAGGACCTTTTATGCAAAAAATTAAGATGATAATGACGAGAAAGAACCCCTTTGGCACAGAGGTTATTTATAGGCTATTATTCATTCATATATTACATTATTCTGCAACATTTTGTAGTTGTAATTCAATTATTGTTTATTAAACTGTTGTAGTAGTAACTGAAAATTGCATTTTAATGATGCTGATTTTTGGAGGGGAAAAACTGAAATGGCACTCTTCGTGTGATATTGATTAATTACATTTTTTTAACCCCCATATCTTGAATTTTGCGATCATTCCCATGCATTGCATTTTAGGGGTTCCAAATAAGTAGCGCTTTAGAACCTTTTAAGGTTCTATATAGAACCTTTTCTTCTAAGAGTGTACACTCTTAGAAGAAATGGTTCTATTTAGAACCAGAAATGGTTCCATCCCCCGCTTCATATATGGAACTCCAAAATGGTTCTATATAGAACCATTTTTTTGGTAAAAGGTTCTATTGGCCAAGTATGGAACCCCAGGGTTCTATATAGAACCCAGAGGAACCCTTTTTTTATAGTGTATAGAACCTTTTAGGGGTTCCAAATACGTAGCGCTGTTAGAACCTTTTAAGGTTCTATATAGAACCTTTTCTTCTAAGAGTGTACTGCAATGTGTGTTGGCAGTGCCTGTACACAACCATTATTTATACTTCAGGATTTAGCATTAAGCTTTATATCAGTAGTAAACCAGTAGTATTTTCGAATTTCGAAAGTTTTTCATGACTATTAGTTGTAATGTCAATCTGTCAATGAACTAACTTATGCACCTCTACCCTGCCAGTGCATACAAAAATAGATCCAAGTGACAGAAACGTCCTGTTCGAGCCTTAACTTTGCGGCCGCCATCTTGTTCCGGTGCGACTCCGGTTCAAACTGATACGGATGCACAGATGTTTGCTCAGAGACTCCCTCTGCCATTCTCTCTCCAAAATATCCCTCAACTGTTGTCAAGGCAACACTCCACGTGTTGGAGTCAGAGGGGCGGAGTCAGCGAAGCTCATTATCATTTAAAGGCATATGCACTGAAACGGCGTGCTGAAAACAGAGCTGATTTTGACCAGGTAAAATTTGTGTTTTCTTAAAATACTAATGAGAATTTTTAATAAAAGTATATTACAAAGTTTTCATTTAGACCCTAAACATTCATATTAACGTAGAAAAATGGAATTATATGACCCCTTTAAGAAAACCGGCCGCAAAATCAAGGTTTTTTTTTGCCCACAACAATTACAAAAAAGCTCTTTTCTGGAAGCACTGCTTACTGTATTAGAGTGTATAATCACGTATTGAGCTATATTAAGAGCAAGTGTGAAAGGGAAAGTCCCCTAAAAAAAAAAAAGTACGGGAGCAGTGTACAGTACGTGTGTGTGTGTGTATGAGAGTATGTTAGATGATGTCCTATCTCACCCTGTGGAAAGGAACAGTCGTGCCCACCTCTTCCCTTTGTTCTCCCACAAAAATATCCCCTCTGCCTCACACACACACACACACCAACAGGTGCCTGCCAGGGCTGCCACAGATTCCAAACACATTCTTCTCTCCCTCCCATAATTCTTTGACCTCCCGACCAATCACGGACACTGCATTTCACAAGTCAGGTTGCAGGGAGGAGAAGAACGATCAGGTGACCGTGTCAGGGGTTTGTTGGAGAGGTTCGGCCCTGCAACCGCTATGGAAATGAACAGAATCCCACCGGGCCGCCGGTTAGTGAGAGTACACAGACTGTGGAGCGGGATATGTGAGTGTGAGCGAGTTTGTTGAGGTGTGTGTGTGTGTACGGTGGTGAAGGGACCAAACTCTGGAGATACAGCTTGTGCCTGAAATGAAGACTCTGCTTTGGGTCCTGTGGAGCTGCTGGCTCTTAACTCTCACAGGTAATACACACACCACGTACGTGTGTGTCGTCCTGTTGTGGGAAAAGAACATTTGTATTGAAACAATTACACTTTAAAGGGTTTTTTGAAAGGAATCTCTTTTCCTCAGCAGGACTGCATTTATTAAATACAGTAATATTTTGAAATAATATTACAACTTTAAATATCTGTTTTCTATTTCAAAATACTTTAAAATGTAATTTATTCCTATGATCAAATGTGTAATTTCAGTATCATTACTCAGAAATCAGTCTAATATTATGATTTGCTGCTCGAGGAACATTTCTGATTATTATCAATGTTGATAAAAAAATGTGATTCTTTGATGGATAAAAAGGTCAAAGAACAGCATTTATTTAAGATAATTAAAGCCATTCTTGCTGAATAAATTCCTTTCAAAATCATTTACTGACCTTTTAAACATAGTATAAAATTACTGTGTGTGTCTAACAGTGTGCATTCTTCTTAATATT